CCAAATGTCAGTATCAACTCACCAAATTAATCTCACCCCATCAAAATCCAACCCGGCTACATCATAAAGACTGCCTACGTATCCTCTTGCCCAAGGAATCAAGCCGAACGTAGTTCACCGAAATGGCCGCTAACGACCTCAATCCAATAGAAGAGTACGCAACCCTTCTCCAATATCACGATCAATTCTGCGACTGATAGCACCTCTCATGGCCTCAAACACCTCCACCTGAGGTGAACCAATAACCATATCCAAGCTACATCTATCAGCTGTACTCGAATCAAAACCCAACTCATCATCTTCATCCGAATCCAAATGACTTCCACGCTGTGTCACCTCAGCTGGAATCCCAACCAATGCAGAATGATCTGGAGTAATTTTTACCCAATGTGGAGTAGCATCATTCTCCACCCGCTGCGATACCTCTAAGGTCTGTCCAAAACCCTCCACCTGCTGAGAGTCAATTAGCTCCCCCATTGAAGCTTCAACCAAAGTGACACTACCAGACCTATCTTCTAATGAAGTTTTACCTCCAATCACAGCAGTTGATAAATCTATAACAGGATGACCTAAATATGTCGAAGCCTCAGTCCAGAAACTCTTCTGCAAACCATTGCTTGACCACAAACACCGATCCTCCTCCAGCAAGGCACGGTTCTTCGAATTATTCACCCTATCTAGCTGCCCCAAGATTTCCTTTCCAACGAAGTGTCTCGAAATGCCGTGAGCTCGGCTCCAATACAGAAATAGGTCCATCTTGTACCTCCCACCAGAATGGAGTACCTTCACCTTTCTGTCTATTACACACTCCTTCAATCTGTTGGATATTACTAGGACTTTCTCCAAAGGGGATTTGGTTGCAACCCAAACACGCCTAGAACAGTCACCAACAAAGGAACCAAACGCCTATTACCTCCCAATGATGCCCCCTTGGAAGGCCCCCAAACATCCACGTGAACTCCTCCAGAACGGCCCTTAGCACGGTGAATAGAGGTGCCACACTTCACCTCAGTCTTCTTGCTCACATCAACATGTTCACTGGACTTCAAACTGCAGGTCTTTGCACCCTCTTTCAATCTATGCGAGGAATCAATACTAGAATGGTCAAGCCCCAAATGCCGCAGTCTAGTCGAATCAACAGAAGTCGCCAGCTCTCCACCTGTCACTATACCTCCAGTCAAGTAATACAGGTTATTTCTCCTGACGCCCTTCATCAAAATACGAGAGTCTCTCGCAATCTCGAGAACCATGTCCTCAACACGAACCTTCAGACCCTCTCCAACCAAAGCTCCAATCGAGATCAAGTTCTTCCTCAAAGAAGGAACATATCTCACATCGTTTAACTCTCTAACAGTCCCGTCAAACATCTTTATGCGAATTCTTCCTATCCCAAGGATCTGGCATGCACGGTTATCAGCCATGTACACCACACCACTATCCACCAGCTTCTCAAAACTGGAGAACCATTCCCTTCTAGGGCACACATGATAGGTCGCACCACTATCCAACATCCATTCAGATTCCTCCGAATAGCTATCTGTAGGACTGATAGAAAGCGAATAAATAGAAGAGTCAGAATTATTACCATCCGATACGATGTTTGCTTCTGATGATGGTTGCTTCCCTTTTCCCTTCTGCTTATTCTTCATCCATTCGTTGAGCTTTGGGCAGTCTTTCTTCCAATGACCAGTCTCCTTGCACCAAGCACACTGATCTTTTCCTACTCTAGACTGTGACTTCCAATTCGCTTTGGACCCTTCCCTCTTGCGACCAACGCCTCTGCTACCGGCTCAACTGAAGCCTCCTTATCCTTCTTTCGAAGCTGATAATTCACAAGTGCAGCAGTGACCTCACTATACGAAAGAGATGCCTTCCCATTAATCAGAGTAAGGACGAAGGTCTCATGGCAAGGAACTCAACAACAGCAACGCCTTGTCCTCATCTTCAATCTTGACATCCACATTCGCCAAATCCGCAAGAAGCTTTGTGTAGTGGTTCATGTGATCTCTAATGGAGGTTCCCTTCTTCAACTGGAAACGATAAAGTCTCCTCTTCAAATGCAAGCGATTTTCCACACTCTTGGTCAAATACTTGCTTTCGAGAATCTCCCAAATCTTCTTCGCAGAAGTCTCATTCATCACATCATATTTTAGATCTTGAGTCAAACAAGACCTAATCACACCACACGCCGTTCGATTCATCTTCTTCCAAACCTTCTCTTCAATCTCATCTGGCTTGCCATCTAACTCCAATGTATCCTCCAAATTCTGCGCGTTCAGCGCATCCAAAACCTCGCATCTCCATAATCCAAAGTTGTTTGTGCCATTAAATTTCTCCACATCTATCTTCATAGAGTGGATATTCAAACTCTGAATGGTCTTCGCGCCAGAAGCACCACCCTCGACACCCGAAGCACCTTCTTTCCCCGACATCTTACGCGCCAACGAACAAAGAATAGATCCAAAAACTAAAAGATAGAATCTTTACCAAAAGATCCCACCTTTATCACCAACGAAGTCCTAAACGGGCCTCCAAATTAATCTACTCCTCCAACCAAACCCTAGATCTGGAATCTGGGCTCTGATACCACTTGTTGTGCGCAGCGGAAATTTCGGCAGAGTTTCTGGTGCACAATAATAGAGAAAGATCGATAAGAATTCCCGTCTCACCAAGGAAACAAGAATCTGAAGCGGATATCTCAACCAAGTGAGATATCGGCTCTTCCTCTCATCAGTTCTAGGACTGACCTGTCGAGGGATCCTACAAGCTATTACAATGACCACAAACTCAAACAACCAATTTTTACGTGGTTCGGCAAACTGCCTACGTCCACGGGGCAAGGAGGGGGGATCTACTATTAGAGAGAAAATACAATAGGTTTACAATCTCACAAACTAAACCCTCAAACTAACTCTCTAATCTCTCACAAAACAGCCACCAAATAGGATTTTTCTCCTCTGCACGAAGCCCAAGAAAAACCCACAACTGCCTTTTGCACGCCGTCCAAGCCTCTGCCTCTGCACAAAACTTCTGCAGTAACTTTTTAATTCTCCGCTTCCCAATCTTGCACCTGCACTCCCACCTTGCACGCACGAAGCCACAGCCAAGAAAAGGACAGCCGAAAAATTCTCCAAAAGCCGCACTCTGCTCTGCGCCCAAAACAGAAAAAGAACGCTGCCTTTTTCCCCTCAACCTTCGCACACAGAGCACAAAACCCTAGGAAAGGGTTTATATAAACATCTATTGTGTCTTCGGGTGGGCCTTCTTTTCGCCACTGGACAAAAGCATCTCACACGGTTTCCAATCCACGTGGTTTCCCACTCGTCTCAGCCTTTCACGCGGAATCCAAGAGCACATGGGTTCGTGAACAACTCTTTAGCCGCTGGACTTTGCAATTCTCCAAAGCTTGTGGCCCCCACAAGCATACCGCCAACAGGGCCTTTGGAGAGCAAGGACAAAATAATTTGGCTCTTCACTCCCAATGGAGAATACTCAGTGAAAAGCAGCTATAAGCTTGCTATTAATCTTAAGGAGATGGTGGAGGACTCTAATATGAAAGTTTCAGAGGGATGGTGGAATTTATTGTGGAAGTTGAGAATTCCTCCTAAAGTTAAAATTTTCTTATGGAAGTTAAGCCACGCTTGGCTTCCAACTAACAATATTTTGCGATGCAGGAAAATAAAGGACTCACTAGTTTGTGGGAGACATGGCTGCTCTTATCACTATGAAGATTGGCACCATGCCATTTGGGGCTGCAAAAAAGCTCAACAATTGTAGAAAGTGAGTGGATTCAAAAAGATTTGTAATAGAAGTGGGAGTGAGGATCTTATAGAATTTTTGTCCAGAATTGCTAAGATTCTTCCTATGGAAAAGTTTAAATTTTTTGTTATGCTTGCCTAGCATTCTTGGTATTTGAGGAACTGTGAGATTACAAGGAAAGCCTTCCCTAATGCTAGTGCTTCTGTGGATTGGGTAGCTGGATACACTAAGGACTTCCAAGAGTCCCCTCCCTCTGTGAAATCTAAATCTTGTAGCAGTAGTGTCAAGTGAGATCCTCCTGCTTCTAGTATGGTGTGCATCAATGTAGATGCGGTAGTAGATAGAAATGGAAGTGGTTGCAGTAGTTGTATTGTGGCTCGGGATCACAATGGTGTTGCTCTTTGCTCTAGAGGTAACTACTACATGAATCCATTCTCTCCTCTTGTTGCTGAGATTATTGCTATAAAAGATGGGGTCCTTCTTGCCAAGGAGAGGAAGTGGAATCAATGGTTTATTGTCTCTGATTGCCACAATGCTGTGGATTTATTGAGCAATCCAGAGGTTCAAAGTGGAGAAAACTTGATCTACTTGCTGATGAAGTTAGGTCCCTAGCTGTTTGTTCTAGCTTCAAAGGCTTCATCTACAAGGCTAGGGATTCTAATGGTGTAGCCCATCTGTTAGCAAAAAAGGCTCTTGGTGATCACAAGGCCTTTGATTGGGACGAGGGTGTGCCATCTGTCGCTTTTAGTGCGTTTATGACGGATATGCCTTCCCTTTGTTAATTGTTTTGTTCTTTGGTATTTAGTCTGTACTCTTCTTTTCAAAAAAAAAAGTCAAAAAAAAAACATTCCTCCATTTTTGAAAATATATCAAAATAAGCATAAACGCGAAACCTAAATTAAAAATGCAATTGGGTAAAAAAAGCAAAACATCTGTGTAATAATACAAGTTTCATATGAGCAATTTTAGATGAATACTCGATGATCACACAAATTGAATATATACCTAACTAACTTCTATTTGCTTTTGAACTGAATATACAAAATTATTTGTTTGTTATAATTGAATAATTAGACGTATAACTAATGAACTAGTTGTACTAAACTAACTTGCAATAGCGTAACGAACTAAACCAAAGTCTAGCCTTGTATCCGGCCCAATGCAAGGCATTAGTTGACATGGGCCTGATATCAGCCCAATCTGTTACTTAATTCGCGATGACCCGGTCCCATGGCGCGAGCGAGAGGCGGGCGCGGGCTTCGTTCCTAGATCCGATAATTCCTGCAACGGGTTTGAATCCTCTTTGTCCGGAGGGAATGACACGTGTGCATTCCCGCCTCATTTACCGCCACCCTCTCCTCCTTCCTTCCTTCCTTTTATCTATCTCTGTTCACTTCTCATCGCTCTTCTTCTCCTTCGTTGTCGTCGTCGTCTCGGTAGCGCGCGCCAAGTGTTTGTGGAAATGGATGAGGAGTACGACGTCATCGTTCTCGGCACCGGGCTCAAAGAATGCATCCTCAGCGGCCTCCTCTCGGTCAACGGCATGAAGGTAACTTAACCCTTTTCATCTCTCTCTCTCTCTTTGTTTATGTCCATGTGTCTCTCTGCTGTTATGTTGATTGATTGGTGTGCAGGTTCTTCATATGGACAGGAACGACTACTACGGAGGCGAGTCGACTTCCCTCAATCTCATTCAGGTGCTCTTCGATATAAACTTAACCCCCAGATTCTTCTTATTAAAGCTATTCCTCTTGTTGGGTCAGTGCTAATTGTTTGTTGAGATGTGCGTGGCAGCTGTGGAAGCGATTTAGGGGGGACGACAAGCCTCCGGAGCATCTGGGTCCGAGCAAGGAATACAATGTCGACATGGTTCCTAAGGTATGTGTCTGTTTGTCTGTATGATACGACAATAGCAACAAGGCCTTTTTTTGTTCCTAGTTTTTTGGGTTACGAGTCATATTCTTCCGTTTAGTTCTGATTAGCGCAATCTCCAGTATTAAGTTGAACCACTTTTATATCCTTCTTAATTGCTTTTAACAAACCCAATTCTCTCGGGCGAACATCTAGTCATGCTTCCTCCTTTATTTATAATCCCATCACATTTCCTAATTGTTGATATTTTGTGGCCTCTGTCGCACATGATCAAACTATCTTAGTTGATCTCTCTCATTTTATCCTCAAGAGGGACGATCTCTAATCTCTTGCGAATACACTTGTTTCTTATTTTATATCTCATCTCTTGGTGTTTATTCACACGCCTGTTATGCTTCCAATTTCGGTACACTCATCTTTTGCGCATGTTGTTTCTTAATTGCGCAACATTCTGATATATAAAGCATTATATCTAGCATGGTCATGTTATGCAGCACACTTAGCAATCACTTTACATGATATTTTATATTTTATTACAGTGCGACTTGATTTGTTCTTTGCAGTTCATGATGGCTAATGGTGCTCTTGTTAGAGTTCTGATCCACACTAATGTTACTCAGTACTTAAATTTTAAAGCTGTGGATGGTAGTTTTGTGTATAACAAAGGGAAGGTACGCAGCATTTTGTTTTTACTTTCTATAAATTCTAATTTGAATCATACACTTAACAGTTCATCTTTCTAGGGATCCTAACCCATATCCTTGCTACAATATGTCAGATATACAAAGTGCCAGCCACCGATGTAGAAGCACTAAAATCCTTCATTTATGTACAGGACTATGATGAGAATGATCCAAAATCCCATGAAGGTCTGGACCTCAACACAGTTACGACGAGAGAAGTGATCTCGTAAGGATCCAATTTTAACTTTTGCCTGTCCACTTTGACTTTTATGATAAAAAAAAACTTTTTAGTTACTTACGTCTATCATAGTTTCAATAAATCTGCTTCCATAGTATATTTCCTGTATGCTTACCTAAGTAATATACGTAATTTTTTCTATGCACATAGTGATTAAGGCTACTCCAGTTATGATGTAGTATTTTCAACTTTGTGCAATTAGCACTTAACTGTTACTGCTCTTTTGTTTCTGTATAGGAAATATGGGCTTGATGACAACACAATTGATTTTGTTGGGCATGCATTGGCGCTTCATAATGACGACAGTTACTTGGATCGTCCTGCAATGGACACTGTGAAAAGAATGAAGGTTACTATCTCTATTGGTTTATCTCTTGATGTTCATCATCTCTTTCTTAGTAATGAGACAGCAAAATTCTTTGTAGCATGATTTATCATGCAAAGTCTGACGGTTTGTAGTTCAATCTAATAATGAAAGATAACCGTTTAAACTAGAAACAAAAGACCAATATAATCTTCATGTCATTCTGTACCATATCAGGTATCGCTATTGAAGGTTCTCCTCTTATTATTATTATTTCAGTCCAATGGCTGAAAAAAAGGCACTGTTATCATTAATATTGTTTGCAGTAAGTGTAAGGGTGCTCATCAAAATTTCGTTTTTATTAGCTTTATGCAGAGTCACTATCACGCTTTCAAGGAGGATCTCCATATATTTACACTCTTTATGGATTAGGTGAACTCCCCCAGGTTTGAACTCATAAATTTTCTTCTCCATTGATTATATTTCTACAAATTTTTAGCTGTCTTATGCATCCATTGATTTGTCCTTTGCAGGGATTTGCTCGCTTAAGTGCTGTTTACGGTGGTACCTATATGCTTCACAAACCAGAATGCAAGGTAAGAAAATTATTTGCTAAGAGGGAAATTGAAAGAAAAGGGGAATGAATTAAAAAGGAACCACGAAAATGATGATCATTTGACCTTCCAATGGGGTAGTTTCAACCATTGTTTGTTGTTTCGGGTGACAGGTGGAGTTTGACGAAAGCGGAAAGGCTTATGGTGTAACATCTGAGGGGGAGACTGCTAAATGCAAGAAAGTAGTCTGTGATCCTTCCTACTTACCTGACAAGGTATATATACTAAATACATGTCCATTAAAAAAGATTCTCATTGTTAAATTCAAACAGCTTATTGTTAGTCTGTCCTTGAACTTTTAAACTGAAAACTCTCTATTTTAACAGGTTCAGAAAGTTGGAAGAGTGTCTCGTGCAATATGTATAATGAGCCATCCCATCCCAGATACCAGTGATTCACACTCAGTGCAGATTATTATTCCGCAGAAACAATTGGGACGCAAATCTGACATGTATATTTCTTTATTCCCTTGTGATGTATATGACTTCTAAATCTCATGTTTGCTATGACTTATTAGTTATAATAGATAATAATATTAATGGCAATAGTAGTGGCAACAATAAATGGAGTGGTTCTCCTGACCGAGTCCTATAAAGACCCTGTATTACTTTTTTACTTCGATAAAGGAGGCATCTCCTCTGAAAAACTATTTGCTAGTTGATGTATATTAGTCACATACGTCAATTTCTGCTAATGAATCAGGTATACATTCAAGACTACGAAGTTAGAAATCAAATGTATGAATGATGGCTTCTGAATCCTAATTGATAAAAATATTTATCAACATCCAAAGACATTGTGCTATTTCCAACTTTTTGGGGTTTTAACACATTCATGCTGTAGATTTGCAGCATTAGAACACACATGCAGATGCGCATACTTTTATTATTATCATATCATCAATTTATTAGTGTCCCAACTTTTTAGGATTTGTCATGCCCTTGTCGTTGCATCATTCATATCTGTACTATATCCATATCTTGCATGTAAACATCTGTTATGCATTCACATCCAAAAGAGCGAGAACAATTAGTCTCTTAAGGGTTTGGACATGATAAATCTCTTTTTTATGCTTATAAGTTGAATTCCTATTTCAGGTATGTGTTCTGTTGCTCTTACACTCATAATGTAGCTCCAAAGGGGAAATATATAGCCTTTGTTTCAACTGAAGCTGAAACAGACAACCCTGAGGTGGAACTTAAGCCTGGAATTGATCTGCTTGGGGCTGTCGACGAGATCTTTTTCGATATCTATGACAGATATGAACCAACCAATAATCACGAAGAGGACAACTGCTTCATCTCCACCGTATGAATTAGTAAACCATTTATTTTTATGTAACAACACTTGAGCAACATTACCATATATATATATATATGTGTGTGTGTGTGTGTATATATTCTGAAGAAAAAGATAATTATATTCACATTTGATATAACTTGTTTGCAGAGTTATGATGCGACGACTCATTTTGAGTCTACAGTCAAAGATGTGCTCTCCATGTACAGCAAGATAACTGGCAAGGTAATTTTCTGATTAGCTTGATATTTTTTATATTTTTTTCTATTTCTGAAGAAAGAATAGGGTCTCAAACCTGAAAACCCCAGACAACTCTAATTCAATTGGAGATTTAATATGTATATAGCGAATCACCATAGCTAACATCTGCAATAATGAAGAAAGATAGGCATTTTCATTCAAACAGTAAAAACCAAAAAATGAAAGCAAAAAAAAAATGCAATACATAGTTGTTTAGAGATATATTTTAAACATCCAAATTAAGAATAGCAACCTGAATTTCAACAATAAGCGTGAATGCTTCGAGCGACTCATATTGCGCTTTGCTTGTGTCACAGGATATTGATTTGTCTGTTGATCTCAGTGCTGCTAGTGCTGCTGCTGAACAATGAAAGGCTCTTATTTCTTTCTCAGTCTCTGGAAGGCTTAATTTTTCTTATGACACTAGTTTTGAATTGTTACCATGGCTGACCTTATTGGCGTTGGCCCTTTACTTCCTTTCTTCAACTTTTACCGTTGTAACTGCAGACATAGAGTTTTGGTATGTTTATCATAAGTTAAGAGTAGAATTTTATTAAATGTCACCTGAGACCAGACAAAAAAAAATTTGGTTGAAATAATAAGTTAGTTATGCATTTGAGTTGATTCAATGGCCTCATCATAGAATTGTAAGCAGTGCTTGAAAGGACTGAAACAACAAGTTCTTTATGTTTACCAAAAGCATGGTGAGAAAAAAATTTCTCTTGACTTTGTTATCTCTACTGTATTTGATACAATTATTTATTATATTAACTACCACTGCAATATGCTGGTTTGTTTGAAATTGAAAGCTGATAGAGAGTAGATACTTTATTAGTATAAGCAGTCATTTTCTTTATGTATATTGGTAATTTGGACTTGAACTTTGGACTTTTCATAATCTGGTCTCACTAATTTTTTTATTGAGCTAGATCTAAGTGATAGATATTTCATATCATTTAAAGTGAACTGTTACATTTAGTTGACCATCTTCTCTTGGCCTTGTGGAAGAGATCTGTTGATCATTAGTCACCAATCTCCCATAATCATCCTTTTTAATTAAGATTTATAAGATTCATCATTGTGTTGACATCTTAATTCCTTGTGTGGACCACAATACTTGACAATTGGCCCCCCACAAGAAGAATTGAGGTTGAGACGAAATCACATCTTGAGATTTTACAAACTTTGAGTCAATTTTTTTTCACCTTGTTTTGATGAAAAATTACAGACTCACCCAGGCTTGAAATACTCTCTTTATTGATTATATACCTAAAAATGCCTACTACGGTTGGTGATGTCCTTGATTTGTCTGGATCTCTTTATTTCAATTGGACCCCGGTGGTGCAATTCCAAAGATGAAAACATCATTAAAGCATTTCAACTCATATTAAATCATTTATGCCTGTTACATTTGATGGTCTAAGCAAACCACATCATATTTCATCAATACTTCCAACCCTTAAATTACCGTTTAACTAAAACTTTAATTTTATCATTATTTTTCTTCTCTTGCCGAATCGACTCTAGAGGTACATCTATTCCTCTATACAAATTGGAGAATCTAAGATTCATCGTTCATGCCACAGTAATGCTACAATAGCAAACAGAAAATGATACTGTAGTAATTCAAAAAAAATATTATTATAGCATTTAAAATCGGGATTACAGTAGCGGAGAAAAAAAATGATGTACCATATGTCGTGCTTTGCACGGTGTTGACGCTAGTGTTTATAGCTATAGTAACACGGAAAAAAAAAATATGGAAAACTCACAAAAATGAACATGTCACGAGAGAAGATTTTAGGAGCTAAAAGCGATTAAAAACTCGGTAATTTAACCTGAGGTTTGTCTAAAACTTTGTTTATCCTCCCTGCCCCATGTGACCGGCCGCGTGGGCATCTCTCGAGCTCGGAAGCCCTCCGCAAATCACACCCACACTCGCTCTGCGCAGCCTATTTTCTTCCCTGGGAAAAAAAAAAAAATTCTGGGCTTTTACGGAGCTCTCTCAAAAAAAGCTAGAAAAAAAGCCATGGCGCCTGAGCCTGAGAACGAGCTTCCGAAGCTAAAGTTGCCATCTTGCCGCGGTTTCAGCGTCTGGGTCTCCTGCATTTTGGAGAATTAGTCCTAAAAATCTATGCTTTTTTTTTGGGGGGGTAAAAAGATTGAGTCTTGATTGCTGCTTCTGGGGAAAAGGAAGATGAGAGCTTTGAGCAGCTTGAGCATCGGGTTGACCCTAATCTCCGGTTTCCTCCTCCTGGCTCTAGTCGCAGAGGTCTACTACTTGCTGTGGTGGAAGAAGAAGAGAACGCCCAGCCGAGAAATCGCGGGGAACGATTGCAAGAACCGTGAGGAGACCCTGGATCCGCCCGCCGACGACCAAGACAATGACCTCTTGATGCTATTCGGGCCACCGAGGTCCCTCTTCACCATCAAAGAGGAGACCAACGACGACCTGGAGTCGGAGAGCAGAAAGAGCTCGAAGAGGAGGAGCTTGAGCGCCCAGATCTTGACCCCTCTCTCTTCCCCTCCCCTCTTCTCCACCCCTCCGCTTTCCCCTTCGGATCGCGGGCGCCCTCTGTTTGGACCCAGAACGGCTTCCCCTCCTCCAAAGTTCAGGTTTTTGAGGGACGCGGAGGAGAAACTGCACAGGAGGACGATGAGGGAGGAGGCGATGAGGGAGGAGGAAGATGGGTCTTTTATCACGATTTTGGTCGGGAAAAACAATTCAAGCTCTTCGCAGGTAAACCCCTTGCCTTCTCCTTCTGCTGATAAATCATCAGGACGTGGGAAGCTGATCTCGTACTTGAGCTCTAGTGAATCGTAGATGAGCAAAGAAAAAAAGAAAAGGCTTTGTATTGTTGTGATTTTTTATTTTCGCCTCAAGTGTATATGGACCAATATGAGGTTATTGCACTCGAACTGATTATGTATTTAAGAGGGTTTATATTAAGGGTGTATGTTTAGATTAAGACTGCTGAAAAAGACTTGATAAAAGATTTTTTTTTTCTTCTTTTTTTTTTCTTTTTTTTTCCTTTCTCTATCTTCTCTGGCTTTGAGTGTGTCATCTGATGGTGTCAAGATTCCGAAAAAAGTTATGCAAGCACCGTTGGGTTTCCTTGTGTTAGAAAGGGACGAAAATTACTTTGGAACAGAGATGCGTGAGCTGAGAATCACTGTAGAGCTCAAATTGAGATGCTGGCTCTGAGCTTCAAGGAGAAATGAGGTTCTTCGTAATTTAGGGGCTGTTTGATTGTTTTCCGAAAAAAACCGGAAATGGAAAACTCACATTTCAACTCGTTTCGAGAGATTTGAAGACATTTTCCGTATTTTTTTTTTTTTGCAATGAAATCACCACGTCACATAAGAAACAAATCTAGCCATAATAGTAACAGTGTTTTCACCAATTAAATAATCTGTTTTGTTCACGGTCATTGTTTCAACAGTACTTTTAGTAATTAAAAAATTCATTGAAGTGACATTTCCAAGTGTTTTCAGAGGTTTTTAGGATGAAAACACTTTTCTCAAAAATATGTCAACATCATTTCTTTAAATCACAAAACGAAATAAACATGTGATTTGAAAATCGATTGAAACCAAAATCCTACGTGACAGGGGGGATTTCTTGAAATCTGACGTGGCCGGGGGTTTCTCATTTTTTTTAGCAAACAAACAGCCCCTTAAAACAAAATTTATAGGAGGGAAAAAAAAAATGTCACCGTGTGAAATAGTCCAATTTTGATACACATGAGGAGCACACAACGTGTAAAATGTCAACATCTTTTGATTTATCTTGCTTGCAGGAGGTTAGGTGTGACCAAAGGACCAAAATTTCTGATTATCAATCATGTGATTTGTTGAGATATTATTGGTGCCTCAAATCTCTTGCTTGTAGCGAATTGCTTTATCAAAGTAGAATGAATGTTTGGATTATTTGCAATTTTGAGTGATTTTTATAAGTGATAGGGCAAACCTTGGTAGCTATTTTTCTTTGGCTCTTAGATGCTAGTTTGAGATATACAGCATAAAGTAGGCAAACATTTTTCCTATGCTTTTTTTCTTGCCTGATATATAAGCAGAATCTCACCAATAAAATCTTCTCTCCTTCTCCCTTTGAGCAAGAAATGATATTTGCTTGAATGAGCTTGAATTCAAACGTAAACTCAAAGATTTTTTTTTTCAAAGATGAAAAATAACAGGGTCTTCTTTATCTCAAAATCGAGCTTTACTACATGGACTCAAAATGTGGGACCAACAGGAGGGCAAGTAAGATGTCCCCCTCCTATTGCATAATGAGTTATCAATCATTAATGATGACCAGCTTATTATGCAATATGAGGGGGACACCTCACGTGTCCCCCCTGTTGGTCCCATATTTTGGGTCCTTAAGGAATTTTTCCTCAAAATTTTAGGGTGGCTTACTTGAGTTGTATCCTCCCATTATGTTACTTCTAAAATTGAGGAGCACTTTCTAAAACCTGTCTGTGTGATTAAAAATCTTTATAAATATCAATTACGGAAACGTGCCAGTTCACGATCTTGTCCAGTTCGCTGGATTTATCCCTCTTGTGACTCGCATGGATCTAATACATACATATCATTGCCAGCATTGTGGCGAGCTCAAAGACAAACAAGGATATTCATGACAAAACAAGACAGCATAAACAAGAGGAGAAATGCATATATATAAACAAAATTAATTAAGTTATATGGCTAATTTCGTGGCCCAACTCAACGCCGTGAGTCATCAAGGGTCAACTTCTTGGGGTTAATATTTTAGCATTTAGCTAAACATCAAAACAGAATGATGCTTTCACTAGTTGTCCCCTCTTTTTTTTCCCTTGTGAAATCTTGCTTTAAACAGGGAGAGCTAAATTCCCAACAATTTTTATAATCTAATAATCATGCATGATGACATAAGACTAAGACCTTAGGTATAATATTACTAACCGCAGTACCTTTTCCCTTTGTTTTGCTAAATTCTGATTTTTCCCAATTAAAAAAATTTAGTGCAAGCATAATGAGAAAAAAAATCACACCCATTGCTAAGTAGATTTTACGGAATATATTACAGATTCTTAAGAAAAGAAAAACTCCATTGACTTATCTCAGTAAATTAAACAATGTATAGCATAAATAAAGGTGAATTAAAACTAGGCTAAATATCATAAAGTACCCCACGCCCCCCCCCCCACCCCAACTTTAGATAAGTATACGAATTATCATAGAACACCCCCCCCCCCCCCACCACCAAAAAAAAAAAACTTTCAGATTAGGGAAGTTTCTGATAAAATCAGAGAGGTTAATTGGGTTTTCTAATTAAATCTAAAAGTTAAAAGGGGAGTTTTTTTATAAAATCTGAAAGTTTTTCTTTCTGGTTTTTTTTTTTTTTTGGGGGGGGGGTCTATGATAATCCCTATACTTAAGGTTTTTTTTTAATATTTTAGAACTTAAGAGGGGGATTTTCGATACAAATCTAAGGTTAGGGGGTTTTTTCTGATATGAACTCTTAAAACTATCATGAACTATTACAGGTTTCACACGAAAATATCATCAACAAGTTTTTTTTAGAGAAAATAGCTTAAATAACTGGAAGCTTTTTAAACTAGTATAAAACAACTCATGAATAATGTAATTATTAGCATTATTCATACTGTAATAAAATCATGTATTGTATGGTGAAGTCACTACACTGGACTCTTCGTATATTATCATGAAGTTAATCATATGGTTTTCGAATAATATAAGCAACTCATTAGTTTTGGCCCATAAAAAGAAAAACCTCCCTGGCCCAGTTAGTAGAACTCCAAAGCGAAAGCCTAAAAGGCCTCCAAGAGCTAATAGCCCGATCCGAAACTTCCGGTTCGAATATAAAAATTCTCAAGTCCATACCCGAACCAGGACCCGGGCTGAGCATGGTTCGGTCCAAACCGAAAAAACCGACCGAACCGATCCGAAAAAATCGGTTTTATGAGTAGAAAGGTTCGGGTCGGTTTGAAAACTTTTCAACCCGAACCGACCGAATATAGTGTAATACTACCCATTTTGATCTCAAACCCTACCTGATCCGTCCCCAAAGAGTCAGACTCAAACCCTAAACTTATTTTCTGAATCATTATGGGTTGAAAACAATATCATTATATCAGTGTTTAATGCTTCATAATCTCCTACTTTGTTGATATCTTTTTTTTTCTTTAATACAGTTTGTTATTTGATAAGAAGTTTGATGAAGTTAGAACCGAACAAATCGAACCGAACCGCACTGCACCGAACCGACTTGTAACAGTTCGGTTCGATTTTGAATTATAAACGGTTCAATTCGGTGGTTCAAATTTTGATAAAAACTGAACCGAACCGACCGTTGCACACCGCTACCAGCGACGTTTCCCCTTCCCCTCGCCAATTCAAATCCTCGGAGCTGCCCGCGGAGAGAGTCGACCTCTTCCTCCGCCGCCCCCGGAAACATCTCAACCGTTCGAACCTTCTAGAAGCTCTCTCCATAAATAAACCCTCGTCGATTTTCTTTTCTCAGTACTCGCTTCTCAAAATCTTAAAAAGGAAAAAAGGGGGGGAAACGCTCATCAGAAAAGTTCAAGATCTAGGGTTTAGATCGGATCAATGGCGGGAAAGGGCGAGGGGCCGGCGATCGGCATCGATCTTGGGACGACGTACTCGTGCGTGGGGGTGTGGCAGCACGATCGGGTGGAGATCATCGCCAATGACCAGGGGAACAGGACGACGCCGTCCTACGTGGCGTTCACCGACACCGAGAGGCTGATCGGCGACGCGGCGAAGAACCAGGTCGCCATGAACCCCACCAACACCGTTTTCGGTGAGTTTGGCTTATCTGCATTTGTTTTTTTAAAGTAAAAGCAATTCATGGATAAAGGAATCAGCTTTTAGTTCGCATCCTAGATATTTTGAAAGTTGGGGTTTTTAAGGCTTAGTTGCACTTTTATACCCTGATGTTTGACCCTTTCTGAACTTTGATGCCCTAAAGTTGCATTTTTGACGAATTGATACCCCCAAAGTTTGCAAACTGCCGTTAGTTTGCCGATTGGATACCATGGACTGCTAGTTTTTTTTACTCAGGAATTTGTTTTTCAATTTCCCCAAACACAAAAAACTAGAATTTGGGAAGAACATGTGTTTCTCACTCACTTTTCTTTGTTGATATCATGAACAAAATGAAGGTCGGGGTTTTTTTTTTTTTTTGCACTCTGGGAATCAAATGATCAAATGGTTATTTAGATTTTAGACCCTCATATCTTCAATAATTCCATTACATGGGTCTTGCAAATCATACTTCCCCTCTTCCCCAGAAAACCACCAACTCACGAAAACATAAATAAAACCAAAAATGAAAGTTACAAAGAATCAACGACACGATTCTAACATTTTAGTCTTTGATCCTATTACTAGAAGGCAAAGAAGGTGCAGAGTACAAGGTACTATCAGTTTCTTCAGGGAGCTAAAATGAGTAAAAGACTTAAGTTGACATATAAGCAAATAACTCAGAATCAGCTTAAAAGTTATAAGGGACAATTCATGCCATCATCTTTCTCTTCTGTGTAAGTTATAATCTATGTTGCCTGGCTACTTCTATTTGGAAGCCGTACCCCTATTTGGCACGTATCTGTACCCGTACCCGTACCCATACCCGTACCCAAACTTCTTGGGCACTTCTTGAATATTTGCATATGTTTGTTCAAGTGTATACTCAATTATATACTACATGTTTTAATTTAAAACACTACTCATACACTTCTTTGATGTATGTTCTACACTTCACATATATTTGTAGTATATTGGTCTCATGTAAATGAAAAACCAATATTGATCTTATATAAATTATTAATTTTAATACATATAAATATACATAAAGTACATGTTTATAGCCATCTCCTCATACCCTACATTTTAGTAATTTGTCGTGTCCAGTACCTGTACCCATACCAGTACCACTACCCAGGGGCAGAGGTACCTGTTAGAGGGTAGTGTCTACTGAATTATCATCAAATAGTGACGTCAATATAAAAGTAAGTATTGAGTAGTGGCCCATTTAAGAAAGTTGTGTTTCCAATTGGTATATATTTAAGAAATGGTGTGTATCCAATTACAACAGATTCCATAGAGAGATTGTTTTCTGCAATGAAATTATAAAGAATTGTTTGTGAAATCTAATGAGAGATTAGTGGATGAATGATAGCTTAGTGGTATTTCGAATGAGGCTGTAATGCAACAATCTCAAAACATGAACACATGTATGGGCCATTGTAATTTTACTTAGTTAAATATATCTTTCATATCTCATTAAAGTTCCTAATTATATTGAATATGAGAGAAAAATTATCCTTTTTTTATGTATATTGTAACACCACTGTTAAGAATTTCTAGCTCTGCCACTGTACCTACCCCTACCCATACTTGTACCCATGCGACTTAGGTTGTTATATTGGTCAAGTTTCATAGACTAAAATAGAGAAAGAAAGAATAGGAAAAAGAAAAAGAAAAAGGAAAACAAAAGAGAATCGAATCAGGTGAACATAAGATTTCCGAACTGAATAGCACAAGTTAGGGTAATAATTCCATTAACAACAATAAATTGACAATAGTATAATACCAATCAAAGGCTGTGAAAGGGGTGCAGATGATGATTGACAAAGGAGAATACTGAATTTGAATCTTGGTAGTGCATGACATACACCTACTTGCCAAATTAGGAAAAAGAATAAAGAATGAAAAAAATTTAGTATAAATAAATAAATCATTAATTTATGTTACCCAACATCTTCAAGGCAAAATCATGTAACCACATAAGTTGAACAGAATACTCAAGAACAGATCCAAATGATGTTACTAGCTAGTAGAGTGTTATTGAATTTGTCCTCCCTTTTTTTTTTTAACTTTTCTTTATTTAGTGTGGGAATTTGATGTTGTTATAACTGCTGCTATGATGTTTCTTTGCAGGGGAGATCATGTTAAATTTTAGCTTCATATGATTTATATCTCTATTGAACTATAGCATATTCTTCTATCATTCTTTCATCATCCAAAATGTCCATCATTGAATTACATTGCTCGCTCCAATCTTAACGTATTAACCCTTGTAATCTCTGCTTGCTAACCTCTTCAGATGCCAAGCGCCTAATTGGCAGGAGATTTAGTGACGCTTCTGTCCAGAGTGATATCAAGCTCTGGCCTTTCAAGGTTGTTCCTGGCCCTGGTGACAAGCCCATGATCATTGTCAATTACAAAGGTGAAGAAAAGCAGTTTGCAGCTGAGGAAATCTCCTCTATGGTTCTGATGAAGATGCGTGAGATTGCTGAGGCATACTTAGGCTTTGCTGTCAAAAATGCTGTCGTCACCGTTCCTGCATACTTCAATGATTCTCAGCGCCAGGCTACCAAAGATGCTGGTGTCATTGCTGGCCTAAATGTCATGCGTATCATCAACGAACCCACTGCTGCTGCCATTGCTTATGGTCTCGATAAGAAAGCAGCTAGTGTCGGGGAGAAGAACATTCTCATTTTTGACCTCGGTGGAGGTACCTTTGATGTGTCTCTTCTTACCATCGAAGAAGGTATTTTTGAGGTGAAGTCCACAGCTGGTGACACCCATCTTGGTGGAGAGGACTTTGACAACAGGATGGTGAACCATTTCGTTCAGGAGTTCAAGAGGAAGCACAAGAAAGACATTACCGGAAACCCAAGAGCTCTCAGGAGGCTGAGGACATCCTGTGAAAGGGCAAAGAGGACACTCTCCTCCACTGCCCAGACCTCAATTGAGATCGACTCCCTCTTCGAGGGCATTGATTTCTATTCTACAGTTACCCGTGCAAGGTTCGAGGAACTCAACATGGACTTGTTTAGAAAATGTATGGAGCCTGTGGAGAAGTGTTTGAGGGATGCGAAGATGGACAAGAGCACCGTCCATGAAGTTGTTCTTGTTGGTGGATCCACTAGGATTCCTCGAGTTCAGCAGCTTTTGCAGGACTTTTTCAATGGTAAAGAGCTTTGTAAGAGCATCAATCCTGATGAGGCTGTAGCCTATGGCGCTGCTGTCCAAGCTGCCATTTTGAGTGGTGAAGGAAATGAGAAAGTCCAGGATTTGCTACTGTTGGATGTCACCCCTCTTTCTCTTGGTCTGGAGACTGCAGGAGGAGTCATGACTGTGCTGATTCAAAGGAACACAACTATCCCAACCAAGAAGGAGCAGGTTTTCTCTACATACTCTGATAACCAGCCCGGTGTCTTGATCCAGGTTTATGAGGGCGAAAGGACGAGAACAAGGGACAACAATCTTCTCGGTAAATTTGAGCTCTCGGGGATTCCACCAGCTCCGAGGGGAGTTCCACAGATCACTGTCTGCTTTGATATCGATGCAAATGGTATCTTAAATGTCTCTGCAGAGGATAAGACAACCGGGCAAAAGAACAAGATTACAATCACTAATGATAAAGGCAGGCTGAGCAAAGAGGAGATTGAGAAGATGGTGCATGAGGCTGAGAAATACAAGTCAGAGGACGAAGAGCACAAGAAGAAGGTGGAAGCTAAGAATGCATTGGAGAATTATGCGTACAATATGAGGAATACGATCAAGGATGATAAGATTGCGTCAAAGCTTACAGCGAGTGATAAGAAGAAGATTGAAGATTCGGTTGAAGAGGCGATTAATTGGCTAGACAGCAATCAGCTCGCAGAGGTTGATGAGTTTGAAGATAAGATGAAGGAATTGGAGGGGATTTGTAACCCTATTATTGCTAAGATGTATCAGGGTGAAGGTGCAGGAATGGCTGCAGGGGCTGAGGATGGTGCTGCTTCCGGTGGTGATGGAGGTGGGGCTGGTCCTAAGATAGAGGAGGTTGATTAACTTGGTAGTGAATAAAATTTTTGCAGAGTTTGGCTTCTAGTGATTATGCCAGAATTTGGTTCTTCTCAGAAAAAACAGAATAATTTTGGTTGCTATGACCCTAGATAATTTCTTGAACTACATGTAAATAACGCAAAGTCAGTTGTTTTACTGATATTCTACTTCACCATGATTATTTATAAATGGGTAACTAGTTTCGCAATTTGTGAAACTTACTATTAGTTTCTGTCTATTGAATCTCCTATATTAATTGGTAACTTCCCTACGCTTCTGTTCCTTTTCTCTTCACAAGCATCTCAAGTAATTATCTACTGCTATCATATTGGTGAAACTAAAGGTGGCAAAATATGCTTGCAGTAACTTCTTTCTCATAATACACCATGAATTTATCTGAAATGCACAGTTATGCTCTGTATCACTACAAGAAGAAAAAAGGGCATTATTCGGGCACAGTTTAGCTAGCTAGAATTGCGACGCAAAAGCTCAACTGTGACGGGATTCTGTTGCAAATTGCCCTTCATTGTCGATGCTATATCTCGATCTGCAATGAAAAGAAAAGAAATTCCCTGCTGTTTATAATTTAGTTTAATGGATCTCTTATATATTAATCGGTATATCCTCTCTATGCTCATGTTCCTTTTCCCTTCACAAGCATGTCAAATAACTTCTTACTCACAATACATCACGAATTCCATCCGAGATGCATATAGTTGCGTTCTTGTCACATTAATGTTCATGAATATTCTCATATATCCCTTACTTAGTTCTCTAGCTGTGCGTGATGTTTGATAAAATGAGTCTTGGTCAAAAGGGGCTTGGTTTCAAAGGCTGAAGCTTAGACTGGAAAGAGATTCGAGTGACAGGAGTTTATACTGCATGCATCATTCTCAATCAAAAGAAGAGAAGAGGGAAGCTAGCAGACAGAAAATCTCGGTATGATTATTCCCCCCTCCATCACTTTAACTTTAATGAGAAGCTGCTACTCTTCTATATCAGTTAACTTACTCTCATGAGCTTTTCCTCATTAGAATACAACCGCTTGCTTTACAGTTACAAGATCAAATTTAGTTTTCTTATGTACATATATAACTGGTTCATTAATCTAACTCGTGATTATTAATTAATTTTCAGTGATTATATGATGATGATGACATGATAACTGTAACCTCTGGTTTTACCAATGATATTGGTGCATCTGATCTTTCGTTTTCACAAGCAAGATGTGCGCGCACCATCATCTGCGAATTAAGGAGCCACATCCAATTAATATTATCCAATTATTTGTCCACCTGTTAAGTGCATGGAATAATGAAGCCCCCCCTAGGGGCTTTTTTGAACATTCTCTTCCTTCTTTGAATAAACAAAGGATTAATGTGGACTGATCAAAGACGCTCACAAAACTTAGCCATGTCATCCACTCAGATTAGAAACAGACAGAGCAGAGACAAGAGAGTCCCAGTCTTTCCAACTTGCCATTAGGGTTTCAATTTTGAAACATGTACGCTGTCCAAGACCATTCTCTTTTTTTATATATTCTCTCTCTCTCTCTCTCTCTCTCTCTCTCTCTCTCTAACTTTACCATGCATGAGATAAAGCTAGCCATCCACTACTAATCTCTTACCACTGCTACACACAGCAAAAACTTGAGAGAGAAGCTTAAAGGCTAAGTAATTAAGAAACATATATATATACAATTAATATTCATCTCTCCCTCGTAAAGTTATTATATATATGCATATATATATATAAGAGACTACACATCAAGGATCACAAGAGAATAATATATCTATAGTCTCCTCATCCTCTTTCCCCTTCTCTCTACAAATTACCCTTCTTTACCTTCAAAGCCCCGCAAAATCCTACAGCTCAAGGAATCAATCCATGGCCTTCTCATCCCTCCCCCTCTATCATCTTGATCCCCCAAACTCAAACTCATGGAACCAAGTAAGTTCTTCTTTGAAAAAGTAAAAAAAAAAAAACACACACACAGAATCTTCTTCTTGGATACACCTCATTAGTTAAGAATTTTCCTTCATATTTTCTTTCTTTTCTCAGCATAATCAGCAGACTACAATCCTACACATTCAATGGAACCCGCAGCTGCATCTCATCTCGCCGCCCCATATCCAGCCAAGCCACCATCTTCGTCTGCCAGAAGGTGCTGGCGGCGGCGCAAGCCGGGTTCGATGAACAGAGAGGGCCCGGCTGGCGAAGACCCCACTGCCGGAGTCAGCCCTCAAGTGGCCCACGCTGTGACTCACCAAACACCAAGTTCTGCTACTTCAACAACTACTTCTCCTTGTCCTCAGGTACTCCATCTCTGCCAAACATCAGTTATATAATTCTTTACTCTCTCATAGATCTTGAAAGAAAGAAATAAAATACTATTCCTTGTCTCAGCCTCGACACTTCTGCAAGACCTGCGCGCGAAACTGGACCCGCGGGGTGGGCGCCTCCGCCAAACGTCCCTGGTCGGCGGAGGCTGCGCGCCGCAAAACCAAGCGGGGCAGCTCCAGAACAACAGTCCTCGTCCAAGAACTCATCTCAGCTGAGGCCGCCGCAGCCGCGCTGCCAGCTGCTCCACCGCCACGCAGCCGGAGCACCGGTAATTCCCGTTCCAACTAACCTCGCATGAATCCCAACCACGTTTTGTCGTTCTTGGAGCATCCCATCGCCGACCAGTACAGCGCGGGCCTGACACTTCAACTTCGCTCGTGCAGCCGATAAAACACCGGGTTAACGAGCGTTCGGGCATTGACTATGAATGCAGTGGCAGGATTCAGCAGAGCCAGCAGTTGCGTTTCTAGGGAATTATGGAGAACACTTCGACGGCGGGGATAGGGGCGTCTAGCACTGCCGTGGGGCCTTGAAGTTTCGCAGCTGAGTCGTGAAAAATGGAGAGAGAGCCATCAAGCCGCTGATGGCAAACTGCGGGGCTGAGCTTCCGAGGCAGTAATCTCGGATGGCGCCAGCGGGTTGCTGATGTGTACATCGGGGGCGGGGGGTGGGCCGGGATCATCTCTCAGGGTTCAACTCTTCGTCACCGCCGAGGAATATCTCTTACGGCCAGCACTAGTACTTGCGCCAGAATTCAGTAGTAGTAGCAATACTAGGATTGGGAGGAAGCTTTGTTTTTAATGGCTTCAAGAGGAGGGAGGTTTTAAGATGTAGTGCAACATTGTGATGTTAATTAGGCAGATATATGTTTCTCTTTTATTAATTAGGTCTGTAACTGTTTTACTTCTATGATCTCTAATTGTCATGTTCTTTTTTTTTCTTTTTTTTAATGTGCTAGTATGGTTATAGAAAATGTGGTGCATGGTGTTCAGACCATGGAGATTGAAATTGTTGAGTAATATTAATTGAGAATTAAGCTTAAGTTGCTAGCTCTTTCTTCTCGCTGCCAAAATGTTGTTGTACTTGTAGTGCACTGATTTGTTTCGTAGATGAGAGGGAGACATAAAATTAACCCGAGGATCTTCTATCTTCCGTTTGTGACCTTTTCCCCTCAGAAACTCAAATTTTAGTATTTCATACATTACCAACTTTAATTTTTGGTAGTGCGCGCGCGCAGGGTTTGAGAACTCTTTGTTTTCTTCTTGTTTTTCCAAAGCTGCCAAAACTTAATTTGTTCTTCATGTTTCCTTGATCGAGTTCAGAAGTATATCTTTTGACTGGTAATTAAATAATCTTTGCTGCAGTTTCACTTTAGTTATAGAGATAGCAACAAATAAGAAACATTTAAGGTTTCGAATTCTATTATATGATATTAATGTTCATAATATCAATACTATACATAATATCATTTAGTGTAAATTCATGTATCTTCCAAACTTATTCATCCAACTGCGTGTCCCTCTTACGTTCGTATGCTATGAATGGACACTTGGAAGTTTCGCATTGTCACGTTAATAGACAAAGATGCAATCACCTTTACCAGGCAAATGTACTGCAAGATTTTGTTTGCATTATGACTCCCAACCATTTCCTCTTAATTAATTAATTTATCACTGCTATCAATCAATTACCTCACAATCCTATTTTATCTCATGGGTAACTGCGCCTGCACACTTCCCTTTAAACTACTACATGGAACCAAGCTGATCTCAGTAAAACTCGGTCCCCGAGGATTTCGTTAGAAGAAACTGCAGATTCAATTGACAGCCGCGCGCGGGAGGACTGCACACCTGCACTGAAACAAAGGAAGAATCGCGCACATATGTATCATTTACACGAGAGAGATGAATTGAAGAGGTTGTTCAGACAAAAAGAAGGAAAAAAAAGAATGAGAGAAAATAATAAAAATGACAACATGCATCATGTAACAAGAAAACCCCCGGTCTGTTTGTTTACCTGTCAATGTCCTTGGAGAATCTAGGGTTTCGCCCACTTTCGCGTGGACCGAGGCGGTGTGTCGTGGGGGGAGGAATAAAGCGGCTCGGGCCCACGCCCAGGCCCGGGTCTCAGTGGTTCGGACCCACGGTGCATGGTGCTAATGCTGTCTCAAAAATGATGTTTATCTTTGTATCAACATAGTTAAAAGATTTGTAAGTTTAACAAAAAAAAAACACTTATTTTTTTCATGCATGCCTTCTTTTTTTTTTATGCGACTTCAAGTTTTCAACTCTCCCTTGTGAGGTTTAACGTTTTATTAATAACTTAGTGTTGATTTTTACAACAATAAATAAAAGACCTGGTTTTTTAAACAAACCAATTAAGCAACGCAATCCCTACGATAATTTCCCTAATTTGAATAGGATACAACTCAACCTCCTAATCATGATCGACTTGTAGATGATATATAGACCAATAGTGTTATCTAACTATATTAAGTTGCAAAAAACCAAATGCAAAAGTTTAAATATTTCTTTAATACAAGCCTAGTTGATGATTGCAGGAGAGAAAAAAGCACCCATGATGTATTAGTCCCCTAATCTTTAAATTTACCAATATAATAATAGATGTCTGTTTGATTCACCATTCAGTGAAAAGTATATAAAAAAACACCCGGAAGAAGAACAAACTAAAAAATTGGTGATTCAATATAGGCCACTACAACTGGTTCACTTTTGAGGTAATTAAGTGGATTAAGTTTGATTTAGGCACATGGGCATTAGCAGTGTACTGTATTGAGGGGATCATCGCAGCAAACATGATATTATACACAGTGAGAGCAATGCATGCAGCTTTAACTTTTTCCTCTCAATAGGGTTCTTCGCTTCTTTTTATCCCATATGGGCAAAAACCCAAGGACTCCAAGTTGCTTCATTCTCACGTTGTTTCACATGAAATCAATCATGGGCACAATCGTTTCCGATCTGAAAACACAATGAAGATGTCTCAGAGGGAATCAGATTCGAAGATGAAGTAGGGTATGTAGCTGATAATAGATTTAGGGATTTCCAAGGGGGATATATAGTGCTGAAAGTAAACTTGGATTAATTATTTTGGGAATTGGAAAGGTTCATTTAATTAGTTAATTAGTTATTTGAGGAGTCAAATGCATGAGTGTGGTAGATGTATGAAAATTGGTGGGAAGTTCAAGAGTTTTTTTTAGGAAGTCTAAGAGTCATATATTGTAGTAATATGTATATATGTGTATTTTATAAGTTGAAATATGCCAAGGAAAATCAAAGAATATTTTATCTTCCTCCAAATTATTTATCCTGGCAAAATATTATTAATTATCAAATTGGTATCACAGCTAAGATGAATTCCCATAGAATGATGTCGTTTGTTGCTCCTAAACTCATCAAAGAAAATTAATGAAAATTGATGCATTCAAATGAAGGCTCTATTAGGATCAATAGATTATCGGGATGTTGTGCTGAAAACCTTTGAGAAGCCTCAAGATGAAGGTGGGCTATTAGCGGCACAGAAAGACTCAATTAAAGAGTCTCTAGTAAGAAAGACAGTAGATCCCTCTATTTTATTTATCAAGGAGTTGATGAATCAGCATTTGAGAAGATCTCAAAACAAGCTTGAAAGATATTTAAAACTCCTATAAAGGAGTGGATAAGGTGAAGAAGGTGTGACTCCAAACACTTCGAAAGGAGTTCGAAGATTTAGACAAGGAGAAAAGTGAATTGCTTTCAGACTATTTCACTTGAGTCTTGGCCTTAGTGAATCAACTTCGGGGAAATGGTGAGAAGTAGAAGATGCTTGTGTGGTGTAGAAAATTCTCCAAACACTTTCTCAAAAAAATTATTATACTAGTTTTTGTGCACATGCAAAGCACGTGGTTAAATATCAAAATTATGTATTTATTTTTTTCTTACTATAAAATAAGTTAGATTCTTTTTTAGTTAAAATCTATAAACATTGTACATTTGCCACAAATTTTTTATTTACACATTTTTAAAAATTTATGAAATAGATTTGTGTGTAAAACTGGGATCAATATACTTTTATATACTTGCATACACAACATTATTTTTTTTATTTTTATATATCAAACTTCATGTAACATATTTGTTTATCGGATCAAATCATCGATCTCCAATTTGTTTATCTTAGTCATTAAATGTAGCGTTAAGTTTGAAAAATAATACAATAATATATTATTGATGTGTTAATAAAAATATAACCAAATACTTAATATTAAGATGGTTTGTATAAGCTCAGCACAAAGCACATACTTTTCACAAGACTGTAAGACATCTTAATTATTGATAGACTTAAAATAAAAGAAAAAATACTAAAGATTAATGGTGACTCTAGTATAATTTTATATGATAAAATCATTCACATAAGCATATTAAAATATTTGCATGAAAATCTCTTCTAAAGATTCCTAATTTTACTCAAAATTTTAAGTTTTACTATAAAATATTTAAAAAATATTATCCTTTATCCCTTCTTTTTATCATCTTTAGTTGAGCCGAGATCAATCCTTCTCCGCCTTTATCTTTTTCCTAGCAATTCTACAGTAGTGTCCTCGTCATCTACATTAATTATGATATCAGGTCGGTATATAATAAAGAGTAAAAGACAAGACAAGAATTCAGAAATATATTATAATATATATGGATCAATTAAATTATATTATTACTCATAAATGATATGCATCAGAGATAAAATGTGTTGACTATCTTAAACTATAAAACATACTGTATTGGCCCTTTAACATAACTTTTTTAATGCAAGCAACCCTCAAGATTAATTTAGAAAATCTCTTAGGGCCAGGAATAAACAACTAAAAATATGATTTAATATTATTTTGATTGTTCGCTGGCTGTGACCCTTTAGACTTTGAAGAAGTAGTTCAAGATCTAAGGAGGACGTCATCTATGCATGCAAAGATCTTGGCGATCGAGAAGAATGATACATGGGACCTCGCAACACTTCCAGAAGGTAAGAAAGCAATTAAAGTTCAATAGTTGTTCAAATAGAAAAGGAATGCGAAGGGAGAAGTTGATAAGTACAATGAGAGATTAGTTGCTAAAGACTACAAGCAGAAGGCTAGAATTGACTATGATGAGATATTCTCTTTGGTAGCTCTTCTTAAAACTATAAGGCTGATTATTGCCTTAGCAGCTCAAAACAAAAGGTCAATCTATCAATTTGATGTGAAGTCAACATTTTTGAATGATGTTCTTGAAGAAAATGTCTATGTAGATCAACTGATCATCACATTTTTATTACACTTTTATATCCTCATTATCTATTTTATTTGAATAAATATATCACTAATGACATATTTTTTTCTTAAATTACAGAAAATGAAGAATTAATGAATAATGGCTCAAAAACTCAAACTCCCTTATTTTTTAACATTTTATTGAACCCAAAATCAAGCCAAGCAGCTTATAGAAGCCCAAGGAATAAAGATCCAATAATAAAAAAATCAAGACAAAATCATATTCAATGATGATAAGCCATAAAAAAGGGCATTATCTCCCAATCCAGAAAGTAAAATCTAATATATTATATATGAAAATTGACTTTCTCGATGAAACAGATCTATCTAAAGTGATAGATTTTAGAGATACAAATCAATTAACCAACCGATTGGCCAGTTGCGTGGCCAACCGATTGGTTCGTATTTGAATAGTGAACGATCGACATTAATTCCATGGAGCCCAAGGCTAATCCAAGAGATCTTATTGATTGTTGTAGGCTATAAATAGGGATAGAGAGTAAGGGGTTTGAGTAGAAAAAAATTTATAAATTTCTTTTTGGAGAGGAGGATCTTTAATTAGGTCTTTCAATTTGTAAACTTATTAAGTTTACAATAAATAAATTTTTTTCTCTATTTCATATTTATTTCTTCTTTTTTGTTGATGAAAATAAAGATTAGCTTTCAAGGGCCAACCCCTTATGAGGTAAGTTTTTATTTTTTTTCTCATTTATTTTC